GAAAAAGCTTGTGAAAGATCCATAGTTTTAAAGATAAGTGACAAGGATGGACATCTGTATAATTTCACCACCATTAAACACAGTTTTTTTTGTCATCAAATACGTGTTATTTTCAACACAAAGCATCAATTTTGGGCCGCAAAACGACCCATTTTCTTCAGGGGTATCCGTGGAGCAAACTCTCTAAATGTGTTTTCACATTTTCCCCTGTCCAGAAATTGTTACATAACAAAATATGAAAATTTAAAACAAAAAACAAATTAAAAAAGGAAATTTAAAAAAAATAAATAAAAAAAGAGCTATAAAAAAATGCAGACAAAGTCAACTTAAAATTTGCTCGACAGACGTTTTAAAAAAAAGGTAAAATTAGGAGGTTTTACAATAAAATAAGGGTCATTCATACATTACCTTGAGAATGGGGCAAAGCAACCCAAAAAATTGTCCCCTCGTACAGGGCCCTTTTGGGGTTAAAATTATACGATATTTGACCTTTTCAAAATTCCTACCCGGTGTGAAACTTGTTCATTCAAGCAAGGTCATTCCTTCACACAGTGTTTCTATCACCATAGTCTTACACCCAAACGGTTCACCAACCAACATGAAACTGTAATAATAATAAATATATATCTCATTTAACACTCTCAAAGCTAAAAGTGATAATGCCTTACATTTTTCCACCAGACCAACCTTCTAATCAATGTAGTTTGAACAAACTCTTTATTGTTGACTGCATGTACTTAATTTTTTATTTATTGTAAAGTTTACTGAAAAGGCGTTATATTTTTTTTCTATAATTTCATGCTGAACTGTTTATTGAGGCAAGCTACCATCAGTTCCTCCTAGTGCTGGACTAAACAAAATCTACCCTTACAAATAAGCCTCATTAAAACCAATTTTCACTTTTAAACTTTGCTTTTATTGCTCTCTTGAGAAGTCACATTTTCAAAAAATTTGAACAATTAAACCGTTGTTTGTTTTTTCAGATTTGTGCTAATTTTAACTCAATTTTGGTACATATTTTGCAGTCAATTCACGTAACAAGCTTACATACAAAAACTAACCAGTATTTACCAATTTCTCCTTAACTGACTGACACCTCAATCCTAAATAATTTCTGAATCAGGGTTGAGAGACAAATGACAATTACACTCAATGGATTGTTAACATTTTTCTTTTGCCTCACATGAGGATCAAACCAGAGACCATTAAACACTCCCCCCCCCCACAGCATTACCTATCTAATTCTCCCTTACCTTAAGAGTTGGTTTACAAACTTTGTATCATTTGCCAATATGTATAAAACACATAAGAGCAACGCCATGACAAAACCAACATAATGGGTTTGCGACCAGCATGGATCCAGACCAGCCTGCGCATCCACGCAGTCTGATCAGGATCCATGCTGTTCACTTACAAACCCTATAACAAATAGAGAAACTGATAGCGAACAGCATGGATCCTGATCAGACTGCACGGATGCGCAGGCTGGTCTGGATCCATGCTGGTCGCAAACCCATTATGTTGGTTTTGTCATGGCGCGGCACATAACATGATAGGACAATCTTACCCGTGTCTGACAATCATCATTTCATATGTTTGAATAATCTTCTCTTTGAAGAAATTGACAAACTGTAAATTCTTCTTTTCTGCTATGGTCTCCATGGCCTTTAAGAAGATCTCGTAGTCGGCTTCCGGCAGGGAAAGTCCCGGGAACAAGTCAGAGATGATACCATTGAAAAGTGGAATGTCATGAGACAAGAACTTTGGTAAGTTGACATCAATGATAGATCTCAGCAACTATAAAATATATATAGTATACAAGTTTCGGTTCATGTTAAATCATTTACTGTCTAAATTTAAATTTAAAGTGATGAATCATTTACCATTAAAAAAGACAAAAAAAAATCACTAAATTATGTTCATTTCTTTAGAATAAAAAAATAATAGATTTTGGTTATGTATCTGCATGCAATTAATTCTTTGATACATGTTAATTGACAGTATTCAAGCATAGTCAATAAAACACTATTGAAACTATCAGCGGGATATCAAAACCAACAACAACTGCATGACAGAATAAGACCGACAGGAACTTTAGAAAATTAATAAAAAAACATTTATCATTTTCTTTGCTTTGAGTTATCAATGTGAGCATCAATATCACTGACATATAGAAATAACCAAACAAGCAACACACCAGAATATTTTCTTCTTCATCTGGGTACTTCAGTTTAAGATTACCGGCTGCGGAGAGCACAGCTTTTACGGCTCTCATGCCGTAATCATAATGGAACTGAGATGATAACTGTTCCGAGCACAGTCTGTATACAGTGACGATCTTTACTGACAAGGCCTTTGCTTCCAGGAAACCGAACGAGTACAGCGAGATCTCGGCAATCATAGCATAGTCCGGTACCATCATAGCTACAGTTCTGAATAATACTTTGAGATTGTCCGGAAGTTCGGACCGACCTGCATAACCGGGGTTCATTGTAATGTTAACATAACACTGTGGATTCAGGTTCAATTCCGTTCCCTCAAACACAAACACATCTAGTTTACCTTGTACAGCTCTGATGATGCATAAAATCTGGAAAGAAGATAAAAATATTATTTACATCTTTTATTTACTTTGCTCATTTTGGAAGATAACTACAGAAGATAACTAATTACATTAACTGTCTTAAACTGAATAAAGAAGTCTTACTATCATATTTCTATAAGCATCTTGAGTTCCCTTTCTTACTGAATTTTAAGGTCTCAGGGTCATCTGGAAAATTTTCAAAATCTTTTTAATAGAAGGAAAGGCAACGTTACCTGTTGGGCAATGACAGACAACACTTCAAGGTCAATTCTGTTAAACTCATCAAAACAAGCCCATGCACCAGCTGATGCAAGCCCCTTGAAAAACTGAAATAATGAAGCATATGCCACATGTTAATCTTGCACATGATACTGGAGCTAATAATATTTACAAGTTAAAGTATCAAAGCTAATGAAATTTTATTATACATGTATCTCATTTTCTATTTTATTATGCCCCCATTTCGAAGAAAAGGGGGTATATTGCTTTGCACTTGTCGGTCCGTCGGTCCGTCGGTCCGTAGACCAAATGGTTTCCGAGTGATAACTAAAGAACCCTTAGGCCTAGGAACTTCAAACTTGGTATGGTGATTGGTCATGACCAGTAGATGACCCCTATTGATTTTGGGGTCAAGAGGTCAAAGGTCAAGGTCACATTGACCTCTTGGGTAAAAAGGGTTTCCGAGTGATAACTAAAGAATCCTTAGGCCTAGAAACTTCAAACTTGGTATGGTGATTGGTCATGACCAGTAGATGACCCCTATTGATTTTGGGGTCAAGGGGTCAAAGGTCAAGGTCACATTGACCTTGTAAGCAAAAACGGTTTCCGATCAATAACTAAAGAACCTTAAGGCCTAGGAACTTCAAACTTTGTATGGTGATTGGTCATTATCAGTAGATGACCCCTATTGATTTTGGGGTCAAGGGGTCAAAGGTCAAGGTCACATTGACCTTGTAAGCAAAAACGGTTTCCGATCAATAACTAAAGAATCTTAAGGCCTAGGAACTTCAAACTTGGTATGGTGATTGGTCATGATCAGTAGATGACCCCTATTGATTTTGGGGTCAAGGGGTCAAAGGTCAAGGTCACATTGACCTCTTTGGTAAAAACCGTTTCCGATCAATAACAAAAGAACCCTTAGGCCTAGGAACATGAAACTTGGTATGTTGATTGGTTATGACCAATCAGATGACCCCTATTGATTTTGGGGTTAAGGGGTCAAAGGTCAAGGTCACATTGTACTTGTAGGTAAAAACGGTTTCCGATCAATAACGAAAGAACCCTGAGGCCTAGGGACTTCAAAATTGATATGGTGATTGGTCATGATCAGTAGATGACCCCTATTGATTTTGGGGTCAAGGGGTCAAAGGTCAAGGTCACATTGACCTCTTAGGTAAAAACGGTTTCTGTTCAATAACTAAAGAACCCTTAGGCCTAGGAACTTCAAACTTGGTATGGTGATTGGTCATGACCAGCAGATGAGCCCTATTAATTTTGGGGTTAAGGGGTCAAAGGGCAAGGTCACATTGACCTTGTAAGTAAAAACTGTTTCTGATCAAAAACTTAAGAATGCTTAGGCCTAGGAACTTCAAACTTGGTATGGTGATTTGTCATGACCAGCAGATTACCCCTATTGATTTTGGGATCAAGGGGTCAAAGGTCAAGGTCACATTGACCTTGTAAGTAAAAACGGTTTCTGATCAATAACTTAAGAATGCTTAGGCTTAGGAACTTCAAACTTGGCATGGTGATTGGTCATGACCAGCAGATGACCCCTATTGATTTTGGGGTCAAGGGGTCAAAAGTCAAGGTCACATTGACCTTGTAGGTAAAAACGGTCAATTAACTAAAAACACTTAGGCCTAGGAACTTCAAACTTTGTATGATGATTGGTCGTGACCAGCAGATGACCCCTATTGAGTTTTGGGTCAAGGGGTCAAAGGTCAAGGTCATGACCAGTAGGTACTTGATAACCCTTATTAATTGTTTGATCACTGGGTCAGAAGTCATGCATAATAACCTTATCACATGACTAATTGGCTGCTGATAGGGGGCATACATGTTTTACAAACATATCTTGTATTAACAAGGAGATGTAGTAAAATTAATGCCCTCGTATGAATATATAATTCTTAATATGTCTTTTTCTAAGGTTGTTTGAGGTTGATACCTACAAATAATTCTTACATAAATTGCAGATTGTTCTGTAAAGATAAATCTCCATCATTAATTTTCATAAAGGTTAACTCTAAAATTTTACATGATTTTCAAATAAAAAAAAAGGGATAAAATACGGCTAAAATACAAATAAACATTTCAATCTAAAGGTAATAACCTTTCCCATAGCAATGTAATCGAGACCATCTGAGCAGTTGAACACCACACACTGTACAGCCAATGCCTTGGCCAAATCCTTCACCGTCTCTGTTTTACCAGTTCCGGCTGGACCTTCCGGAGCTCCGTTCAAATTCAAGTGGAAGGCACCGACAAGAGTACGATAACATCTGTCAGTGAGAGGTGTAATGACAAGACGTGTTGTATTACCCAGGTATTCATACGAGTATTTTACTGTGGCATTTGTGATCCTCACAATCATGTTGTCGTCCTCCCAGTAGTATCTTAGATGTGCCAACCAATTAAAGTCATTCTCGCTAGAAACACCTAAACAACAGAACACATAATTATAATTGCTTCAATTACAACAAGTATATTTGCAAAAATTCTTCTTAATCTTAAATCTAAATCAAATATTTCTTAAATAACTTCATTTTATTGTTTACAGAAATGGGTATACTATTTCAATACGGTAATTTGTGTGAAAATTTGTCTGATAAGTGTCTGATTTAAGAAATCTAACCTTTTTCCGCCAGCTCCATCACAGCATCTCTGGCATGCACATCAATTACAACGAGGGCACCCAGAGTGGTTCGAGCCTGTTTAGTCAGTTTGCCACGTACAAGTTCTACAACGTCCCCAAGCTGTTTCTGTAAAACATCCCAATAGTCCTTAAGCCCTGTTGGTGCGGCACGGATAGCCTCGTGCACCTCTCGAGTCCAGTATGCCTGTGATGCACACAACACCACCTGACCTGGCCAGTCTATGACCCAGTTTGTTCTTGGTTCAATGGCATATGCCTATAATCAAAATATCATAAGTTAAAACAACATTATACTATTATTTGTTTCAAATTTTTATCATCTACCATGTACAATATAATGAATACATAATTAATGAATACATGCATTTTCAATCATAATTAAAGACATTCTAAGTTGAAACTAACTATGTCTAAATATATAAATATAAGTGACAGAATTTTTGTTATGAAAATATAAGCTTCTGCAATCATTTAGGATTATAAAAATCAATTATCATACAGGTGCACACAGAATGACTTTAAAAGTCATAAGTAAAATCATCCAAGTGTTATCTTCAAATTAAATACATTAGTCTATACAGTGTCTATAGTAAAAAAAAACAAGAGCTGTCACAGGAGACAGCGAAGCTCGACTAATAAAATACTGGACGCAGTAAGGAGGACAAAACTATGAAAGAAAAATCAATTATGTATAATTATGTATTAAGTTATAGTAAAAAAATAACATTTGTTAACATTAATTCCAAGATCAAGGGGAATAATTCTAGAAATAGTCATGCTAGAGTTATGGACCTTGTCACACAACATTTGTGTAATGATAAGAAATATATATTTGAAGTTTGAAGTAGATACCTTAAAAAGTAAAGAAGTTATTATATTTCTTAAAGAAAATCCTAAGTTCAAAGAGAGATAAATCTGTAAATATTGCTTCAAGAGTTATGAACATTGTCATATAAAATGTATTTGATGATTAGGAATAAGTATTTGAAGTTTGAGGTAGATACCTTTAAAAATAAAAAAGTTATAATAAAAAATAACATTTTTCTAGTAAAAAAATCTAAGTTTATGGGTAGATAATTCTTGCAATATTGGTGCTAGAGTTATGAACCTTGTCACATAAGATGTGGATGATGATAACGTAAATATATTTGAAGTATGAAGTTGATCCCTTTAGAAATAAATAAGTAACAGTAAAAAAAAAAATATTTTTTATGGAAAATTCTAAGTTCAAAGGGAGATAAATCTGAAAATATTGGTGCTAGAGTTATGAACCTTGCCACATAAGATGGGGAGGATGATAACGTAAATATATTTGAAGTATGAAGTTGATCCCTTTAGAAATAAATAAGTAACAGTAAAAAAAATAATATTTTTTATGGAAAATTATAAGTTCAAAGGGAGATAAATCTGAAAATATTGGTGCTAGAGTTATGAACCTTGCCACATAAGATGGGGAGGATGATAACGTAAATATATTTGAAGTATGAGGTTGATCCCTTAAGAAATAAAGAAACAGTAAGAAATAGCATTTTTTTAGGAAAATTCTAAGTTCAAGGGGAGATAAATCTGAAAATATTGGTGCTAGAGTTATGAACCTTGTTACATAAGATGGGGATGATGATAAGGTACATACATTTGAAGTATTAGGTTGATCCCTTAAGAAATAAAGAAGTAACAGTAAAAAATAGTATTTTTTAAGGAAAATTCTAAGTTCAAGGGGAGATAAATCTAAAAATATTGGTGCTAGAGTTATGAACCTTGTCACATAAGATGTGGTTGATGATAAGGAACATATATTTGAAGTTTGAAGTTGATACCTTAAGAAATGACAAAGTTATAGTGAAAAATATTTTACTGCACCAAAACTTTAATCTAAAATCTGGACGCGGACGCCGGGGCGAGTAGGACAGCTCTCCATATACTTCGTATAGTCGAGCTAAAAAATTAATAATAGCATATTTAAATCAACAGAGATGAATAGTCAGTTCTTATCAAAAGTGCAAGTCTCATGCATTGACATATGCAAGTGTCTACACATGCACATCTTATCACAGTACATATTCAAACAACAATTTTCAAATTGTTTCTCATAAAATAAAGATAATGCTGACTGCGGCAAAATTATGCCATTCTTGATACAACTGCAAAGCAATGTGCGTACATAAAAATGCTTGAGCTTAAAATACCAATTCTCTCTGTTTAAAACATTTGAGAGATTGGTTTCATAATCTCATGTTATAATTCTTATTGGATGCTAAGAACATGTATATAGCAAATGTTAAATTAAAATATGGAAACAATAAGTGTGATTTTAATATTTATCAGATACCCGTGCCGCTTTTGCGACTCTGTAAAAATGGAATTGCACAGTGGTGCATATATTTTGATGTGATGTCATTTGCTTTATACAAACATAGTGTAATGACGCAATAAATGTTAGCATTACATTTAAGGTGTGTCAATGAAAAAAATATAGAATTCTTTTTCACTTTAAACAGTCTTATTTTGGGTATGTGATAAACAGAATATTATATTTGTGTAAGTTCATTACTGAATTTATTGAACTTGTTGAACAAAATAATATTATGCCCACCAGAGGCGGGTTTATATCTGATAATTTTTGAGGTTTTATAAAAATTCCTAGATGACATTTTACTTCTTCAAAAACACACAAAAAATATTGTAAAATAGAAGTGTAGTCAGCACAAGACCTTTACATGAGCACAAAATGCAAGTACATGTACTTAAAATATAATGCATATATATACGAGGGTTGTCCAAAAAGTTCGTGCACTGCAGTTATTGTCGAGAGATTTATTAATAAAAACAAATAAATTATATATCACTTGAAAGAGGAATCTGTCTCAAATAAGAAAACAAAAGAAAAAGTCGAGTAACCGGCGTGTCGTGTAAAAAAATGGTCATTGAGTTACCTTAGTAACGTAATACCGGCGCACGACAAAAAATTCGGTTAGTTCATTACTGTAATTGTATTAATTGTTTGTTGCTTGTAAAGTGGTATTTGCTATTTATGTTATAATTTGTTTTACTGTCAATAGAGGAATGATTGATGCAAAGTATTGTGTTGTTTTTATTGTTTTTATGCAACGAACATGTAGCATATTCCACCAGTGCAGGAATATATTGAATAACCCTCGTCACATGCGCCGGCATTACGGACAGACGTCTGCCTGACCGGTTGTCATCGTCTACCGCCTCTCTTTCTCTTCAACAGAGCGTTTGTGCCGTTTAAAAATCAGCCTTCGTGACACTGAAATTGTCCTGCTTGCTCTTTTTAGTTCTTTTTAGGTATCTGTTGGTGTTTTACCAATATCTGCACAAAAATATAATGATCGTCCGTATTTCCGACGTGTAGCGACCGACATTTTCACGTAATTACAGTATTGACGACCACACAGAAATTTTTGTTTACGACTGTTACAATAAAGCAAATGACTCCATATTTTCTAGTGACTTTAGGAATACGTATACACACTTTTCCCTGAATTTTAACGTTAATATGTAGTGTTTAAAGAATACCGTGATGTATCAAAGCAATGAACTAACCAAATTTTTTGTCGTGCGCCGGTATTACGTTACCAAGGTAACTGTATGACGATTCGTTTTCAGGACATGCCGGTTACATGTTTTTTTTCTTTTGTTTTCTTATTTAAGATATATCTCCCCTTCAAGTTATATATAATTAATGTTTTTCTATCAATAACTCACACGACAATAACTGCAGTGCACGAATTTTTTGGACAACCCTCGTATTCATACATAAATTTTTAATAGCTTTACCCCTCTCCATGTCTAGATAAATATCAGTTGAAATAATAATGCTTTAGATTATTTAGTAACATAATCTAATGTTTCTTACAATAATAAACTTGTACCAGTAAATGCCATTGATTTAAAATTTAATAAACTTTTGATAATTTAAAATAACTGTGTTTATTTTGTAACATGATTTCATGTATGTATATTTATTTGTCTTTATACAAAATGTGAGAAAAATAAAAAAATTTTTTAATTAAAAACAATAATCTTTCTATATGAAAATTTCATCTCTTTATAACACTTTATGATCTTGGAAATATTGAATATTTGCCACCAATTCTTAAGTTAACATCAACAATACAGGAAAATTCAGATTTTCACTCAGCAAGTGACTTCCTAGACTTCTTGGTTGAGAAAAATTACTGCAGCCGCCCCTCAGTTTATTCACATGAGTAGTACTGTACTACCAAATAACTGTTGTTTTTTTTTGTAAATCAATATTTATTGAGATATAACAATAAAGGACTAGGAAAAAAACACTTGGGACAACATATGTGGAAGAAAATAGTATAGGAATATGACATTCAACAATAAAATGAAAAGATGATTTGAGCCGCATCACGACAAAACCAACATAGAGCGTTTGCGACCAGCATCGATCCAGACCAGCCTGCGCATCCGCACTGCCTGATCAGGATCCATGTTGTTCCCTATCAATTGCTCTACATGTAATAGGGTTTGTAAGCGAACAGCATGGATCCTGATCAGACTGCACAGATGCGCAGGCTGGTCTGGATCCATGCTGGTCTCAAACGCATTATGTTGAATTGTCATGGCATGGCTCATTTATGGGAATTCCGTGATGTAATGCACTATAAACTGGAAATAATCAACACTTCATTTCCTTACATTTTCTTCATATAAAGGATAATCCTTTTTTGCAAATAAGAAATAGTTTCATTTATAAAGATAAATTCAAAACTGAAATATCCTCTATTTCAAATGATATAACTTGACACTAACACATATAAGACAAAGAATTTCCAAAATTATTGAAAGGATGTAAAAACTGCTAAAATGAATCATATTATCATTAATTCCTTATACATAAAAATCTTATAACCATATCAAAGTTGTGTCAATTTACACATATATAAACTATTAAAATGATCTTGTCAAAAAACAATGAAAAAAAATTTTAAAACTAAAATTGAGAAACAACATGTCTTTTTTAATCTGTCAAATCTCGAAGGAAAGATTTATTTCTTTCATACGTTATTATCAGTTTGTTATTAGACTTTCCCTTAGTAATAGAATTAAGGAAATTGAACTAACTACACAGCCTTAGGCAAGTTTATTTAAATGACTGCTAAATATATATATATCTCACAAATAAATATCCTAAACAAGGACCTCACCTCATGAGCAGATCTGAACCACATCACACGGACAGTAAACATAGTATCCTGCACCTGTAACAACCATTTCTCTACCGCTCCACGAGCCTCAGACGTCGAGATTGAATTTGCCATCTGTACTCTCTCACCCTCACTACTAAACATAGCATGAATGTCTAACTTAGAGTCAAACTCAAGTCTCGCAATACCCTCAAAACACTTCTTCAAATGAGGCTGTACACGTAAGCGGATCTTTTGTCTCGGACAGTATCTCAAGCATTTCGTCGTTGGACAGGAAGAAGAATCGTGGAAGAAGAGACGTTTCTTCT